AAATACCAGCAGCAATGAAAAGCAGTCAATGAAAAGAGCTGGCCTGCAATGAAAAGTATCCAATGAAATATCCTGGCCTGCAATGAAAAGCTATCAATGAAAATACCAGCAGCAATGAAAAGTGGTCAATGAGAAAGGCTGGCCTGCAATGAAAAGTAGCCAATGAAAATCCTAGAGAGCAATGAAAAGCTACCAATGAAATATCCTGGCCTGCAATGAAAAGCACCCAATGAAAATGCCAGCAGCAATGAAAAGTGGATAATGAAAAGGGCTGGCCAGCAATGAAAAGTGGTCAATGAAAATGGCTGGACTGCAATGAAAAGCAGTTAATGATAAGTTGTGACCTGCAATGAAAAGTTATTGAAATGCACAAGGCCTCTTATGAAAAAAATCCTTATCATAAAAGGGCCTGGGATATATATGATATACTTTTCATAAAAGTATGTGGAGCTATGCACAAGGCCTTCCTGGCCTATGCCATGGTTTTATGATTTGGATGGTAAGCACCACTCAAGCCGGAGCAGTTCCTCGGCGCCAGAGCGCGGTCGTTCAGGCCCACGCACCTCGAACAGAGCCAGCCTGTATCCCAGGCCTCGCTCATCCTCCCCATCCTATCGAGCGCGTTACCAACGCCGAAGCGACGAATCACCTGTCACGTCCGCAGGCTGCGCGTGCATGGTATCATTACTGGCAGCTCAAATACCTGGCACGCCCCCATGGGAGTTACGTGGAGTCCCGCATTCCTGGAAGAGGGTGTCATCCTGTTTCCGGACAACAGGACACAAATACGTCTTAGATTCTGGGCTGCCTGCGACCTCTTCTTCACGAACATGCGCCACTTGCTGGAGCTCGCGATTAGGAGAGGCATGAAGTTCATCATAGCCATTCCATTCGAAGCACTTCCACGCTTTCATCAACAGGAAAAGCCCAGTCTTGCCGACCTCACAAAACGCACCTATGACACTGGTTTTCAAGAGACGCCTCTCACATACAGCAAAGGCGGCTCTGCCTTCATGGATCAGTACTTAGGCAAACTGGCGGACATTCTTCGTCGGCCACACGCACGAGCAGTTATTTCTATGGAGG